GAGTTTCTTATCTGCGGTATACATTGAGAACTGCTATTCTCCATGAGAACATATTAGAACAAACTGAGGGCGGGTCAGAAGCCTCAAAACTGTAGATTTTTTTAAGCTTCCCATAAAGTAACCTAGCAACCACTTCAAAAAGACAAGCCAAGAAGACAATTAAACCTTCTATGCAGAGCTAAATGAATATTGCAGCACTGTACAGAGTGTGTTTGTGTGGGTCTGGGTCCGTGATGCGTTTCTTCATTAGACACACACTGCATATTCAGCAATTAGAATCTCTCTCTCTCTCAATCTTTCTCTCTCTTGCTCTCTCGCTCTCTCTCTCTTCAACTGTGGAATTATTCATGTGGCGTATTCATTGGGCAAATTAATTGTTCTGCTGCTTTCAGCCCATCAAAATGTGATGATGCGACAAAGGGGGGGGGGTAATTTTCTAATACACATATCCTGTAGTGGGCTGAGGGTGTGTGTGTGTGTGTGTGTGTGTGTGCGGGCATGTGTGTATCAAGCTTGTTGGAGTGTAATGAGTTTTGCTATTCCTGTCTACTCACCTCTTCTGTGTTCCTTCTTTTGTTTGTTATTTCAAATACAGCAGAAGAAGCAGCAGCAGAAAACATGCACCAAAGGCCATATGTAAAGATGGGTAGCACAGCGCTCAGTCAAAAGGACTTTAGTTTTAATTTAAGTAAATGAGCAAAAATGTATATGACAGTATCATAAAATTTTCCTCATAGTTTTATATGTATCACGGCAGTTATGTATTTTCAAATAAATGCATTTTAGATGCTTAAGTAAATATTTTTGTAGGTTATAGTGGAATATTATCCTGGGATGTCCCTTCACTTTCTTACAAGATCCATTTTTAACGACTAAAATAAATCTGAAGTCGTTATATTGTGCAAAAAAGTAGAAACAAAACTGAACAATATATATATATATATAGCCACATTTCCAGAAAAAGTTGGGATGCTGTGCAGAATGTAAATAAAAATAGAATGCAATTTTATTGTTTTTTGATTTTGAATATTGAATTTAATGCCAACAACACATTCCAAAAAAATTGGAATGGGTTCATGTTTACCGCTGTGTTTCATCATCTCTTCTTTTAACAACACTCTGCAAGCATTTGGGAACGGAGGAGCCCAGTTGCTGTAGTTCTGAAAGTGAAATGTTTTCCTGTTCTTGTTTGATATAGGATTTCGGCTGCTCATCAGTTCAGGCTCTCCTTTGTCGTATTTTTCATTTCATACTGCGCCAAATGTTTTCAGTGGTGACAGGTCTGGACTGCAGGCAGGCCAGTTTACGCCCGGACTCTTTTAATACGGAGTCATGCTGCTGTAATACATGAACAATGTAGTCTTACACTGTCCTGCTGAAATAAGCAAGGCCTTCTCTGAAAAAGATGTTGTCTGGATGGCAGCATATGTTGCCAAAACATATATCTGTTGTTTAGCATTAATGGTGCCTTCCCAGATGTGCACGTCAGCCATGCCATGTGCACTAATGCCCCCCAGTATCATAAATACTGGCTTTTGAACTTTGCACTGATAACAAGCTGAGTGGTCTTTAGCCTGGAGGACGCAGTGTCCATTTTTTCCAAAAAGAATTTAAAATTTTGACGGATTACAGGATGCTTTTCCACTTCCCCTCAGTCCATTTTAAATGAGCTCGGGGCCAGAGAAGGATCCAGGGTTTCTGGATCCTGTTTAAATATGGATTTGTCTTTGCGTTTTAGAGTTTTAACTTGAATTTGTAGATGTAGTTATGAACTGTTTTCACAGACAGTGGTTTTCAGAAGTGTTCCTGAGTCCATGCAGTGATTTCCACTACAGAATCATGCCCGGTTTTAATGCAGTGCCATCTGAGGGCCCAAAAATCATTACCAGCAAATACTGGTTTTTGGCCTTGTCCCTTGCATACAGAGATTTGCAGATTCTCTGGATCTTTTAATGTTATTACGTATCATAGATGATGAAAAGCAAAAGTTCCTTGCTATTTTATGTTGAGAAATGTTATTCTTGAATTGTTGCACTATTTGATCATGTAGTTTTTCACAGAGTGGTGAATCTCTCCTCATCTTTACTTCTGAAAGACTCAGCCTCTCTGGAATGCTCTTTTTGTACTCAATCATGTTACTGACCTGTTGCCAATTAACCACCACGTGTTCTTTTAAGCATTACACAACTTTACCAGCCTTTTGTTGCCCCCATCCCAACTTTTTGGGAACGTGTTGTTTGCGTCAAATTCAAAATGGGCATATATTTTTCAAAAAACAATAAAATTTGTACTATTTGTAATAATCTTTGTACTATTTTAAATTAAATATAGGGTTAAAATGATTTGCACAACACTGTATTTTGTTTTTATTTACAACCCCATTTCCAAAAAAGTTGGGACGCTGTGAAAAATGTAAATAAAAACAAAACACAATGATGTGCAAATAATTCAAACCCTATATTTCACTGAAAATGCTTAAAAAAACTGAGGAAAAAAATGAGAAATAGTAGTGTTTTTTGAAAAATCTTTGCTCATTTTAAATTTGATGCCAGCAACACGTTCCCAAAAAGCTGGGACGGGGGCAACAAAAGGCTGGTGAAGATGCCTAATGCTTAAAAAAAACACATGGTGGTTAAATGGCAACAGTTCAGGAACATAATTGGGTATAAAAAGAGCATCCCAGAGAGGCTGAGTCTTTCAGAAGTAAAGATGAGGAGGGGTTCACCACTCTGTGAAAGACTGCATGATCAGATAGTGCAACAAATTAAGAATAACGTTTCTGCAAAATAGCAAAGAATTTTTGCTTTTCATCATCTATGGTACATAATATCAATGTTTTTGATTCTGATTCTGCAGTGGAAAACACAGCAGGGGCTCAGAAAAACTTCTGAAAAACACTGTCTATGAAAACAGTTTGGCGCTGTCACAAATGCTAATTAAAACTCTTAAATGCAAAGAAGAAAGCATATATAAACAGGATCCAAGAATGCTGCCACCTTCTCTGGGCCTGAGCTCATTTAAAATGGACTGAGGGGAAGTGGAAAAGTGTTCTGTGGTCCAACAAATCAACATCTGAAATTCTTTTTGGAAATCATGGACACTGTGTCCTCTGGGCTAAAGACCACTCGGCTTGTTATCAGTGCACAGTTCAAAAGACAGTATTCAAGATGGTATAGGGGTGCCTTAGTGCACATGGCATGGCTGACGTGCACATCAGTGAAGGCACCATTAATGCTGAATGATATATACATGTTTTGGCAACATATGCTGCCATCCAGATGACTTCTTTTTCAAGGAAGGCCTTGATTATTTCAGCAAGACAATGTCAAACCACATTCTGCATGTATTACAACAGCATTGCTTCATATTAAAAGAGTCTGGGTGCTAAACCAGCATGCCTGCAGTCCAGACCTGTCACCCACTGAAAACATTTGGCACACTATAAAATGAAAAATACGACAAAGGAGACCTCGAACCGTTGGGCAGCTAAAATCCTATGTTCACCAAAAATGGGAAAACATTTCACTTTCAGAACTACAGCAGTTGGTCCAACGCTTACAGGGTGTTGTTAAAAGAAGAGGTGATGAAACACAGTAGTAAACATGCCCCCGTCCCAACTTTTTTGGAATGTGTTGTTGGCATCAAATTCAAAATGCGCATATTTTTCGAAAAACAATAACATCTCAGTTTCAACATTTGATTTGTTGTCTTTGTACCATTTTCAATGAAATATAGGGTTTCAATAATTAGCACATCATTGAATTTTTTTTTTATTTACATTTTGCACAATGTCCCAACTTTTTTGGAAATGAGGTTGTAAATTGGCAAAAATGTAGATCATAATAATATATAATTACTTTTTTTTTTTTTTCAAAAAAATACTTCATGTAGTAACAAGTAAACTAACTAGTTTTATTCAACCTAAAGAAATACTTTGCATGAACGATTATTTCAATCGAACTCATTTTTTGAGTTGAATAAACCTAGTTCAACTGCTTGTTACAATATGAAGTCATTTTTTTTAGGTAGATCTGACGAACTATTTTTTACAGTGTATGTAAGTAAGTTAGATGCTTAAGTAAATATTTTTGTAGGTTATAGTAGAATATTATCCCGGGATGTCCCTTCACTTTCTTACAAGATCCTTTTTAACATCAAAAGTAAATCTGAATTAATTTCATTGTGCAAAATAGTAAAAAACAAACCTAAACAACATATAGATAAACCTGTGTCAACATTGCTTTCTAACACTATTCCACAAGTAATAAATGTTGAAATGTTAAAAGAAATCGTTTAAAAAGAAATAAAAGAAAATAAAAAGAAATAAAAAAGCTTTTTGAAAAAAAAGTCTAAAACAATTCTTAAGAAAAAATAAAATTTCTTTTAGGTAAAGGTAAAATAAGAAGGTACAATAAGAAAATAAGTTAAAATATTCAAATAAAGAAATTAACTTGGGAGAAATGGGTAGAGAAATGCACAGTTCTTGGTTTATTTGTTTTTAAACTATGTTTCTGTCATTGACTTGTCGCTTCACTACTCAGACATGTATAATAAAAATAATAAATAGTAATAATAATAGCAATAATAATTTATATAGTACTAAATAGTAAATATAGTATCATTGGTGATAATAATAAATAATAATAGTAAATATAATTAAATATCTGCAAAATATTTTTTTAAGTTGCATTGACTCCAAACCCTGTACTAACTCCTTTTTTTAACTTAAAAACATTAGCTGTAAAAAGGCACAAATCTGCACATTTCCTGTGGAAAAATTCATTTCAGGAACATATTTGGACCTTAAAGACCATGTTGTACTTTTGAGGGCAAATTTATATTGTTTGTATCTTGATGAACAAAACCGTACCAGTACCCATCACTGACACCGACATATTACACACAGAACAACACGCTCACCATACAGACACATAAGAGTATGCACACACACACACACACACACACACACAACATGCAGTTCAAATAGCTGCAGTACTGACCTTAAAACTCCAGTAATGTGGTTGCTAGGGGGCAAAGAGAGAGAGAAAACAAAGAGTAATGAGTTAAACCTTTCCCATCCTTTTAAGCAAATAAGTGTTTTCACCCAGACAACCACGACACTAATGGAGCGAAAGAATGAGTGGAGAAAAGCAAGGAGACAAAAGATGGAATAGAGGGGGAGAAAGAGAGAGGAGGGGCAGTTTTCAATGCATTGTTAAAGGGGAATTCCATGGCTTTTTTACAATTTATGAAGAATTACATCTTTAAGATGTGAACAAAGTCATTGAGAGTGGTTTGAAATAAAATGCTCCATTATAGAGAAACTTACTGACCCAGAATGCTTCACAACGGTGGTGATGGGAACCAAATGTCTACAGACACTAACTCTTAAAGCTAACATACAAAAAGTTTTGAAATGGTTATCAATATGCTACATGATGCCTGAGACACTGTTTTACAATAGTTTTGAGATAAGCTTCTGTTCATGAATGTATTGTTATTTATATATTTTTTTGGATCTATCACCATTTTACCTTGATCAACATTACATATAAAAACTAAGCAGACAACTGTAGCCTGACTGGTTGTTTTGGAAAGCAAATAAAGGGGCACATTTATTAAGAGAGGTGCTAATTACCAACAATCTACCTATTTTGAGAGAAAATTAGATATTGTGACATAAAACATCAGAAATTTAAGAAAATAATTGGTTATTTTGACTTTCTGTTTATTTTCAGTAGCTCGCATTTAAGTTTAATAGTAAATTTTCATGTGAGGTCATGTCAGTGCGTAGAAGTGGGGGCTCACTATTCGCACGGAAGCAGCAATTAAAGAACAACACTATACCATAATAAAGTCAGCTACACCTAATGTACTTTACTATCACCAAAGCAACATAACTAGCACACTTTGACAAGGCTTTGTTTAGGGTACTGGCCTGTCTTATGATGTTAATTCAGTGTGCAGCAATGTTAGCTCTCATATTTTGGCTTCTTAACAGCCTCATAATTTAGAAGATACTTTTCTCTCTGAGAACAAACAATGGCTGCCATGTTAGCACTAAAAATAAGACAAGCTTTTCACAGAGGTTAAACAGTGAACAGTCAGTATTTACTATCAGCCTTAGTAAATCAGAGTAGGTGCTTCATTATAATCTCCTCCTAGTAATCTGCGCTTTGAGAGGCAAACTCTTATAAATGCATAAGCGATTTATGCATAAAAGATCAGCTTCAACCCTAGTGATCTGTTGATGAGTGCTAAGAGGCTATTGTGTTTATTTAGTAAATTGCAACAACCAGCTTTTTAACCCCAAAATAGAACATCGCAAAATGTTCGGAAATCGCCCCCCAAAAAGGGTTTATTTGTGTTGCAAACATTGCGACCAGTTCTTTTTACCACTGTGAAAAAATACAAGTCAGTAAGTGGCACTACAATGCATCTCACAGCAAACCTCAAAGTTTTAACCCTGCAGGGATTTTAAGGCACAAACCTCCCTTTATGAAGTTTTTCATGAGTTTGTACAGGTGCAAATGATCACCTTATAAAAAACAGACAGCCTCCACTGAGTCTTACTCACATACACACAGACAGATGGTGGAGACGGTTGTCTGCTGGACCTTAGCATGAGGGCTAACTGAAATGAGGCAAATGCTGTAACTACCATCCTGCCAACTGTAGGATGAGTCAAGACACAAATACACCCAGAAAAAGAATCAAACAGATCAATACTGTCATAAAGAAAAATCTCCAAACAGTAACTTTACAGAAGGAAAACCTAGAATCTGTTAATGTAAACCAAATTGGCCTTGCTTTGTTGTGAGAAAAGAATTTGATGTAGTATGTAATAGTAAATAGTATGGACACTCCTCTGTCCATATGGTTCACATATGAACATTAAGCTTCAAAAACACGCCTGGTCATGAATTCATTATTTTTTGTGATGTCACAAATACCAGCACATTTACACATATCCACCTATTCAGCCTAGACAAGTTTGGCCCCACCTTGGGAGCCACAGCATTTCATGTCCATTTTATTGAAGTAACATTTCACCATCTTGGCTGTAAATATGTCTCAGCATGTGCTAATATCCTAGTATAGGCTAAAACTATAATATAAACAAAAACACAGACTTACTTTGCTCTACTTTAAGCTTTAGCTCAGCTATAGCTGCTTTTCTCGCATCTTCCAGAGGGAACTTTTCCACAAAGGTACAATAGTTTCTTGTAAAATGCCTCTTAACATTCTTCTTGTTCGAATTTACAAAGCTGAAGTCAGCTTCTCATTTACCAGCTCCTTGTTCGAATTTGAACGATGCGCCAGAATGTAGCTAACTATGTAGCTACCTATGTAGGTAACTGTTGCACCATTTAAGGTGGAATGTGAAAATTCGAACAAGAAGCTGACGAGTAAGAAGCTGACGAGTGAGAAGCTGACGAGTGAGAAGCTGACGAGTGAGAAGCTGACGAGCGAGAAGGTGACTTCAGCTTCATGACTTCGTGTTTGACAGTTTCTCGTTGCAGATTAAACATATGAGCAAACCAGCTGGAGCGCTTATAAACACATTATAAAAGTCAATTAATCTCCAAATTATCGATGTTCATATTAAATCTTTCTCTTTGCTATTTCATTAGCTGCTAGCTAGGCAAGATTGTTCTCTGTGTCACTGTGTGACCAGCAGTCTGCGTGCCAACCTTCAGGGTTAAACAGTGACCAAGCAGTAATACATTAACTCCAGTGTTTAAAATCATTTATCATTAAAACTGTTAGAACAACCAGCAGAGCTTTATTTTACTACAAAGAAGGAGTGTTTTATTTTTACCTAAAAATCTAATTCTGCTGGAGAGCCGCAACAGGGCAGTCAAAGAGCCGCATGTGGCTCTGGAGCTGACCCCTGTTCTAAGGGATAACAGGAAGTTGTAAAATGGTCACACAGAAATTATAATTGTTTTTATACACAAAACATTATAAGTGGGCCTAAAACATAATAAAATAAGCAATAAATGTAAAATATGGGTCATTACAAACTTGGTTTGCTTTCCAAAATGTCTGTTGGAACCTTAGTCATGAAATTTTCACACAGTGTAAAAGGCAGCTGGTTCTCAAACAGTGAAAACATGTTGCATCTTCACTCACACTGAGTGCGAGTTTTGGCATGGCTCCACTAGCCAAGGGTTAAAGGCCGTGAGCAAGAGATTCCTGCGTGGGTGTCTGCTCCCCGGTGGCTGTCCGGCTGAATGCATAATGTGTGTGTGTGTGTATGTGTGTGTCTGTCTGTGTGTGTCTGTGTGTGTGTGCACAGTGTCTGGTGATTATAGTAAATCTAGGGGACATCTGCAGGTCAGAACTCATTCCATCCCTTTATTTTCCTGTTTATATTTCACTCACACACTCATTCCCGCATGCATGAATTCATTCTTTAACTTTTTGGCATCATTTCATCATCCATTCATACACTGGTGCTCTCGAGAGGGTGTCTCCAAAACCAACAACTCTATCCATTAATCCCAATACATGGAGGCCTCCAAAGCAAGCAGTGCAAAAGTTTGGGAACACAGAGAACACATTTCTGCACATTTTAAGTTTATACAACATATTATATGTAATGTTTTATGTTTTCTAGCATGTTAAACTCAGCAAATAAACAGTAAGTGTGCACTAGAAAAATGCCATACTTATGCTTGTTCTCAACCAGGTACACACACAATAAAAGGGGCAACCTTAACATGAATTTACTTGATTTAATTTACAGCGTACTGCATCTAATGACTGAAAATGTTCAAAAAAACAAAAAAAAGAGCTTTTTGATTTAAAGAGAAAAAAGGCTGAAAATCGGCCCTCAACAAAGGGAAGTTCTAAATGAGTCAATGTTTTAAAATGTCATAAAATGGTAAAATGTCTCACTTTCAACATCTGATGTGTTCTATGTTCTATTGTAAATAAAATATGGGTCTATGAGATTTTTACAAATCATTGCATTCTGTCTTTATTTACATTTATTTACATTTTACACGGTGTCCCAACTTTTTTGGAATTGGGGTTGCAGAACCCCATTCTCCAAACACATTCTCCAACAATCTGAAGAACGATTTCACCAAGCAAAGAACCATTTAAGCATGAAATACAGCACTTATGAATCTAAACAGAGCTATTGCCTTTATTAAAGAACCCTTAAAGAACAACCTTTTTAAGTGTGTAGAGAAAGAATTAGGTAGGGTTGGTGGAAAAGACTGATCTATCACTTCATCCAGCAGGTGCAAGTACTTTAATGTTTATCTGAAAACAACACAGTCTCTGACTACAACCATCCCTGAGTTTCCAATGAGGCTCAAACATGCACTGAATCACTCCCTCTGAGTCATTTATGAAATGAAAAGTTGGACTTTTACAGCAGCCTGCATGAGCAAGTTAATCCCAGAACCAGAATTCAAAGACACGCTAAGTAGATGTAACCATTACAACTGGATGAAATAAAGGCCTGTAATGTGCTACTTAGAGAGAAATGTGAAAAAATGACTTAGCGTACCTTTAAAATGAAATAGCGATTGCTAAGAAAAATCAATAGGCTTTCCCTGCTGGGGAGCAACATTTCACTAATGCTTTTTTTTGCTTTAGTGCTTTTATGGTGGGTTTATATGGATTTAGTGGGATGAATTAGAGCCAGAAAGTTAGCTGCTGAATTCAATCATTTGCATCGTAATGCTAAATAAAGAGCCACTAAAAGAGAAAAATTAATCTATTCTCTGACATCATGTTAAAACCCAAATCAGGAAGCACCAACTTGCTGGCCAGTTTCCGTTACTGTGGCAACACAGCCTCTAAAACCAAGGATGCTGGAAGCTCACACTCACTAAAATATATAACATAATGTTTTGGGAATCTGTTTGTAAAGCCAGGGCTAGCACTGAAAAAGCAACCCTAATTAATGATGAACTCTTTAAATGTCTAACAAAAATGTACTACACAAATTTGATCTAGTGCATGAATAAAACAACATATTCCAAAATAAAAGGACTTAACAGCA